CTGATTACCAGTCTCATCATGGGGAATAACTACCACCAGCTGCCCAGCCACTCAACCAGGCCCAGCCAAGGTGACACACAAACATGACTGCCACATCATCCCAGAACATAGAAAAAGAAGGAATACTCCTGAATTCATTCTATAAAGCCAGCATAATCCTGATACCAAAGCCAGGGAAAGACACTACTAAAAAGGAAATTATAGACTCATATCCCTCATGTATACAGACACAAAAATTCTCAATGAAATTCTAGCCAATAGAATTCAGTGTAAAAAAAAAAAATAATAATGATCGAGTGGGCTTCATACCAGGTGTGCATGGATGGTTCAGCATTAAAAAATCAGTCAGTGTAATCTACCACATAAATAAAGCAAAGGACAAGAACCATATAATCATCTTAATTGCTGCAGAAAAAGCATTTGATAAAGTCTAACACCCATTCCTGTTAAAAGCTTTCAACAAAATAGGAATAGAATAGAACTTCTTTTGCATCATTAAAGGTGTGTGTATATATATAAATAATAGAAATAGCTAACATTATTCTCAACAAAGAGAGACTAAGGTATTCCCGTCAAGAACAGGAATGAGACAAGGATGCCCTTTATAACTGCTCTTACTCAGTTAAGAGCTCTGGTGGTGTAGTGCCTAAGGCATTTGACTGCAAACCAGAAGGCGGACAGTTCAAACCCACCAGCAACTCCTTGGAAGGAAGGTTGGGCAATCTACTCCTGTAGTGAAGCTGCCTTGGAAACCCAGGGGAGGGGTCGCTATGAGTCAGATCCAACTCAACAGCAATGAGTTTTTTTTTTTTTTTTTTTTTTTAGTTTTACTCAATATTTTACTGCAAGTCCTAGCTAGAGCAATAATGCAAAAAAAAAAAAAAGGGGGGGGGGAGTAAAGGTCATACAGATTGGTAAGGAGAAACTAAAACTATCATTATTCACAGTTGATAGCATCCTATACTGACCCAGAGACTCTACAAGAAATCTACTAGAACTTACAGAAGATTTCAGCTAAGTGGCAGAGTACAAAGTCAACACACAAAAATTAATTGGATTCCTTTATACTAACAAAGAGAACTCTGGAAAGGAAAGCAGTATCATTTACAAGAGCCCTCAAAAATATAAAATACTTATGAATAAATCTAACTAGGGATACAAAAGGAAACAACAAAACTACTGCAAGAAATGAAAAGAGACCTACGTAATTGGAAAACATACTTGTGGACAGGAAGGCTTAACATTGTAAAACTGCAGTACTACCCAAAGTGATAGATACTGTAATCCTGATCCAAATCCCAACAACATTCTTCAATGAGATGGGAAAACTAATAACCAACTTTATATGGAAAGGAAAGAGGCCACAGATAAGAAAAGCATTATTGAAGATGAAGAACAAGGTAGAAGCCTCACACTCCCCAATCTCAGAACCTGTTGTACTGCCACAATAGGCAAAAATAGCCTGGTACTGGTACAATGACAGATATATAGGCCAATGGAATGGACTTGAGAACCCAGAAGTAAAATCTATCCATCCATGGATAGCCAATCTTTGACAAAGGGTTGAAGTCCATAAAATGGGGACCAAAAAGTCTCTTTAACAAATGATGCTGGCAGTACTGAATATCCATTTGCAGAAAAATGAAACAAGATCCATACCTCACACCATACACAAAAACTAATTCAAAATGGATCAAAGACCTAAATGTGAAACCTAACGCTATAAAGCTTATGATAGAAGAAAAATAGGGACAGTGCTGGAAGCCCTAATATATAAATAGAATACCAAACATAGATAAAAACACACAAATAGCAGAAGAAAAATGAAAACTCAAGGAAGCAATTAGTCTAAAGGATTAATGGCCCATATGAACTATATCCTCCTCTAACCTATGACCAGAAGAACAAGATGGTGCCTAGCTACCGTTACCAACCACTGACCAAGACCAAAATAGAACATCCCAGTTGGAATAAGTTAAAAAATGTAGAACAAAATTCAAATAA